TGACGGAGGATGAAATGAAATTGTCTAAGTATGTAAAGTGCTTAACAACAGCCCTGACTTATCATAAGCACTCACTGCGTGGCGATTATTAATACGGTGCTGTTGTTACTGTGTTTCCTCCAACACCCATGACCCCGCCAGCCAAGCAAATATGTGGCTTCTTCCTTCTGCCTCTTCTGCTGGGTCCAGACCCTGCCTCGGCTGCTTCCCATTCCTTTTCTCCCTGTTCAGTCATGGCTTGAGGCAGCTTCTGATTTCCTGCAGTCAGGAGAGTCCACAAAATTGTAAAGGGCAATGACTAAACTGGCAGTCAGCCAGAGCAGTAAAAATGCTCCAAGTCAACCCTAAAGATCGAACTCCTTTGGCAGCCATCCCGTAATTATCCACCAGCTTGGCTCTGGTGGGATGGGAGGAGAGAAAAGGAATTTTACACATTTATTAATTTTCCCCATCTGCTTGGAGTCTTGCTGAAATATGACTTCCTAGCTGCTCTGAAAGCCTGGGTGACTGGCCCTCTATTGGGCTCCGAAGTCCAGTGCCTGGCGGAGCAAGGCTCCACAACACAGCACACAGACCACAGAGCATGGGCAGGAGAACTGGGGGTGGTGGCCCCGGAGCCTAGCACAGTGCCTGGCACAGACGAGGCACTTGGAATACATGCCCAGATGATTTATGGAATGACCGTTGGTGGGGAAGAGCCAATGCTCCAGATCCATCTTTGCCCTATCTCACTGTGTGGTCTGCACACATCTCTTAGCCTCTCTTTCTCCATCTGCAAAGTGGGGATAGACATCTGCTCCTCCCTGACGCACAGCTTTGTGGAAGGAAGCAAGGCTTGCAAAGTGACAGAGCTTTGAAAAGAGGAGCTCCGAATCTCTCAAACCTGCTTCCTCTCCATCTTTCCCAAAGCAATGAAGGTGGATGTTGAGAATGATGATTTGGGTTTTGTGCAATCTTCAGATGTCTTCAGAGGCATTCAGGAGGAGCAGGATGTGGAGGAGGAGAAACAACGTTTACCTCAGTAGTTTTAGGGCGAGTGTGTTTTACGTGGTGATGGAAACAGACTGTGATTCCAATCCTTACCAAGCCTCCTCATCTGTGTGACTTTGGACAAGTCACTTGACCTCTCTGAGCCTCATTTTCCTTGTGTGTAAAAGGGGATAACAACGGTTCCCACCCCATGGGGCTATGAGGATAAAATGAGGTAATTCGTGTAACACCCTGAGCAGAGCGTCTAGAAAACAGCAGCTCTCCGTAGAAGTTGGGTGCTGCTGTTATTTAGCTGTTAATAATATCAGTGAGAAATCCACTGCTCATTGGGAAGTCCCAGATAACCAGTGCCTTAAGCACAACACCCTTTCCCAAGAGGTGGGTGGGTGGGGGAGAGCTTGCCACCCTTCCCTTTTTATCTTGGGCTGCCACCTACTGGTGAGGACCGGACTTACAGCTTCTGGGAAGGTCGCAGTGGCTGAAGGAACAGATACATTCGCTTCACTGTCCTGTCCTCACTTCCCGGGTGGGGTGGGAGGCACAATGGCAGGGAGTGGGAAGGTAAATACAAGCCCCAAATTCTGAGGCCATAATTAGCCTGCAGAAATTCTTGAAGGCTTGTCTGCCCCAATGAGAAAATTAGTCTCAAGTCCTATCCATTTTACTTCCTGAATATCCCTGGGGTGGGTCCCCTTTTTCCATCCTCATGCCCTCTCTTGGTCCAGGCCACCACGCTCTCTCCCTGGATGATGCAGCAGCCTCCCTGCCTCCACCCCCTTCTCTGTACAACATCCAGGAGTTTTCCAAAAAATGCAGATCTGATTGTGTCATTCCCCAGCTTAAATCTCTCAGTGTGTCCCCACTGCTTCAGGTATAAAGTCAAAGCCCTTCTGCCCAGCTCAGAAGCCCCTTCAGTTTCCTCCCCGCCTCGCCCACACACTCAGCCCTGTCACCCGCCCTCTGCCCCTTCCAGGCCTCTCCAGCTTTCAGGCCTTGTCTATGCCGGGCCTGGACCCTCCCTCCCCTCTTTGCCTGGCTAACTGCTACGAAGTCCCAATGAGTGTGGACGCTGCCTCCTCCTGGATGCCTTCCTAGATCCCCCAAGGCTGGGATAGGGGTCCTTCAGTTTTTCCCCTTATCAAGCTGTATTGCCTCTTGATCTGCATCTCCCACAGTCTGAGCAGGGCCCGTGCCCGGTTTTCTTCACTGCGGTATCCCTAGTGCCTACCCAGTTCCCGATGCACAGCAAGTGAGTAAAAACTTTGTTGAGGGAGGAAATGGACTCTTAATGGGAATACAGACCAACTCTCTACAGCCATATTCTTCGACTCTGTTCTGCCCCAAGTTCCAGCTGACCTGGGGCTCCCTGTAAGTGGCCACAGTACCCTGAAAATGATATTAGAGCCTGACGGGTGTTTGCACTTTCGCGATGCCCTCCCTAGTGAGACCAGTGTGGCTGGCCCAAGGACGCTGTCTCCTTTGAAGGTACAGCTGATGGCCCATGGAGCTTGTTTTCCATAACTGCATCTGAGAATGTGTCAGCTGTGCCCTGCAACTTGTCAAGGAGGGGGTGGCAGGCGGGGGCATAATCTGCAGTCTCCGCTGTCTTCCCCAGCATGGGACAGCACATGGCTCTGTCCACAGGCTCCATCTGGCAGCGGCAAGTGCAGCTCCCTCACTCTGAGCTTGTCCGCTCTGAGAACTGACCCCTTTTATGACAACAATTCCTATAGCCCGGGAGGTCTTGTCTCCCAGCCCAGGCTCGGGCTCAGTCTCATCCAGTTGGCCACCCCACTGCCTCTCTTAGGATGGATCCCCCAGAAGCCAACCTTGGGTTGAGGATTCTCATGTAGGTGATTTAATAGGACTGGCTCCTGGGGACACCAGTTAAGGGTTAGGGGGTGGAGGAACAGGATGGGGAAGGAGAAGCAGCCAAGCAAGGGGACACTTTCAAGAAAAATCCCAGCTTCAGCCTGATCCCCTGAGGATTCAGGAGTGTAAACTATACTCAGGGATGTCCTGCCCCAGGACAACAGCATTCCCACACCAGTCAGTCATTAGCTGAGGACCATCCTGGGGTGATGTAAACTCTTGGCACTTCTGGTCTCTCTTCTTTGCACTCGTGAGCCAAGAAGGTGCAAGTAGCCCAAGGGCAGTTCTCCAAAGAGTTCAGACTGACCTTAGAAGCAAAAGCTGGGAGAGGGGACCTGGGTGGACACCCACAGTTCCACTGTGCTGCCTTCCCAGCTCCCTCAACTCCAAGAGACCATCTCCTCAATTCTCTGATTGAGCCAGTTGACAATTTCTCAGTCTTTAAAGGGTGCAATGCAGCTTCTAGAAAAGTCCCATGTGTTTTCTCTTACAATGAGGTGGCCACCAAATGTCTTTTAAAAAAATATCGACCACTGCCAAGAGCTCTCTGACTGGCCCTGTCTTTGGCTATGAACTCACTTTAAAAGTCTTTACTGGTTCTTTTTAAATTTTATGAGATATTCTTGCTTGTTGTAAAGAAACATTTCTAAGCATAAAAAGGTGTTTATTGTAATAATGAAAATCTGCCACTTTCGTTCCCAGAGTGGGTTTCTGGCCAGATGTTTTCCTAAGCATTATATTGATGTGGGTGCAAGTGGCTATTTGGGGCTGCCTGCAGACTCTGCCTTTTAACCATGAGAGTGCTCTGGGGTGGGTTGGGGAGGAGGGAGCTATGGAGTGGGCAGAAGTGGCTGGCTGGGTGCCTTCTTCTGACATCCTCAGTCAAGGCTGCTCCAAGCTGTCCCACTTGGGCATTGATTCTAACCCCACTGCAACTGTAGCCCAGTCGCAGCCCACGCCAGCCCCCAGTTGAGGGTTTCTATACTCTGTCTCTCTACCTCAGGCCCTCTTCACATATTTGAAGCCCTCCCTGTACCTAGGACTTGGGAACTGTGAGCCCCACGCTACTGGTGGGCATTTGCCCTTAAGCTGGGGGCGTATTCTGCACAGGCTTGCAGTCTCCCTGGTGCACAATCCAGGAGGCTGAGTGCCAACCGTTTCTGCTCCCAAACCTCAATCTAGAGCCCACCTCAGAGCCCAGGCAGGTCTCAGCACCACAGCCCTTGGGCCTGCCCACTTCGGTCTGCTCCAGTGGCCGGCGTGGACGTTTCGTGGCCGAGGGCTCACTGTGAAGCCACAGAGGGCCACTCTTCTCAAGGCAGGGCAGACAAGGAGGGCTCAAGAATTCACTCCCAACACCAGCAGCCCTCAACAAACCATTGACGGCAGCTGGTGTACAAGTATCCCAGCTCCCTCATCCCCAGAGGACATCTCCAGGGCTGTGTCTACACTGATTCCTGGAGGTTCCTGCTGGGATTGAGCTGCGGTCACTGACAAGATGGTTGGACTGACAACATACCCTTCTTGGCTGCCTTCGTCTCTGTCTCGCTTCCCGCTGCTCTATGGGCGTTTCCTAGAACCGCCTCCCAAGCAAGCTGCTTGCACTTGAATTTTTGTCTCGGGGTCTGCTCCTGGGAACCCAGAGTAAGACAGCAGGACGTCTTCCCCGAAGCCTGCTCCACACTCGGGCTTGTCTCTCCAGGCCGTCTAGTCTTGCCCCTCCTCTGCCTCTCCAGTCTGCATTTTCTCTGGCTCTTGGCAAACAGCAGGTCATTCTCTGTGTCCTGTCCTCTGGCTCTCTCTGTTCCTGTCCATCTTACACACTACGGACTCTTTCATGCCTAAAGGAAATCCCTATGGAACCAAGCTCCTTCCCAGCTGCCTTATGGACGGCTCTGTGAAACTGTCACCGACTGGTCTGAACCCATGGCCCACGCTAACCGAATCTAGACCAGTTCAATCCCAGGGAGCAGCGTGGCAACTTGAGTGGTCGGAAAGTTCATTCAAGATCAGCAAAAATAAAATTTAATTTTGCTCAAGTGTGGGCAGTCAGTCCTTCTCTGACGCCCACGCTAACCGAATCTAGACCAGTTCAATCCCAGGGAGCAGCGTGGCAACTTGAGTGGTCAGAAAGTTCATTCAAGATCAGCAAAAATAAAATTTAATTTTGCTCAAGTGTGGGCAGTCAGTCCTTCTCTGACAAAAGCGCAACTGTTCTCTCCACAGACAGCTGGCTCGGGAAGGGCCCTCTGAGGCTGGTCATCTCCCAGGTGGGACATCTCAGCCCAGCGGGAGGGCTTCGGTTCCAAAGAGGGGGCTACGTCAGGGTTTGCAAGGACTGTTGGCACTTGCCACACGGTCGCTCCTCCGCCTCCTTGCAGTCCTCTTGCCAGCCCAGCCCGCAGCAAGCCCGGGCTCCACTCCCAGGTCAGGCAGGGGCTCCTTCAGGCCTCAGTGCAGGAAGAGCCCCAGCTACCCTAAAACACCTTCCTGGGCACGCAGCCCTCCAGCTCCAGCAGCTCCGGCCATCCCTCGTATTTGTTTGTGTCTGGGCTGTTCTTTAAGAACTAGAGAGAGAGAAGAGAGAGAAATATGAACAATGGGGTAGGCTGTTTAGGACTCACACCTGCATTTGCACTGTGCTTTAAAACCTAAATGCCTCACTCAAATCCTCCTCACCACAGCCCTATGGTGGGGTGTGGGATATTGCTAACCCATTTCATAGGTGGGGAAACCGAGGCTCAGAGAGGGGATGCAACTTGCCCAGGGTCTCAGATATGGGATCAGAGTCCAGTTACTGCCTATCATGCCCTGTGGGGGCACCAAGTGCTGGGTGGCTTGGAGAACTGTGGCCCCTCCCCCAAATTCTCCATCTGCCCCTCTAGGACAGCCCAAATAACAGTAATTACAGCAGCAATAAAAGGAAGAATCCTAATAATTCTAAAGTGCCTTATGTATTTAATCCATACAGTTGCCCTAGGAAGTGTGTGCTATTATCGTCCCATTCTAAAGATGGGGAAACCAAGGCACAGAGGACCAAAGTCACTGCCTGTGGTCACCCACTATGTAAGATTAATTAATGCTACTAATAAATATATAAAGAGAATAAAATTGTTTAAGATTGTGTTTAAAATGCTCAGGGTTAGTTTACTGGAGAAAAAATGTAAATGGCAAAATTGTCTATTGAAATAATTATGGCTGACCCTTAGGAAAAAAAAAGAAATTCTAGATGCTACTTCTCTAAAACGCAGTTTCCCACGTGCGAGAACGAAGGACACACTGGTTTTAGTCATGTCATGGTCTTTGGTTCATTTTTGGGTGATGGGTGGCAGTCAGCTGGTCGTAAGAACAGGTACAAGACGGTGCTCAGTTTCCTATACGCTGTCTTGGCCCAGTTTCAATGGGCATGTCATGGTCTTTGGTTCATTTTTGGGTGATGGGTGGCAGTCAGCTGGTCGTAAGAACAGCTGGTCGTAAGAACAGGTACAAGACGGTGCTCAGTTTCCTATACGCTGTCTTGGCCCAGTTTCAATGGGTCTGGAGCCGACGCTTCCAGGAAGAACAGCAGCTGCCAGTGTCACCTCAAGCTTCTTCCCAGAGCCACACCCTGGGCAGCTCCTGCGTGGCGTTCTGCAGCCCCCAGCCCCGGCCTCCTGCGGTTCTTCACCCAGGGGGTATAAACAGAGTTCTCTTCTCTCCTTTAGCACAGGCTACACTGAACTCTTCCTCATTTAAAAAAAGTTACCTGACTATATTCTCTTAGAAACACACACATACAAACCGAACCAACATTTTCCAGACAGGGAAAAAAATCCTTCCCTCCCTTCTTCGTCTTCCTCCTTGGAGTTCAGCACCCAGTTTCCAGCATCTGTCTCTTCTCTGCCTCTCTCAGCTCCTACCCCCTCCAGGCTGCTGCCTGAGAAATGCATGAGAAATGCATCTGTACTGCTGAGAAGTTCTGAGACCTGAGCAACCTGGTGGAAACATCTCCAAGTCTCTGGTTTCTTGTCAGTGAGATAATAATTGGACCTGCTTCACTGTGAGTGTTAAATAAGACCCTGCACACGACTTGCTGAGCGCATGCCTGCACAGAGCTGAATGCGAGTTTTTCTTATTATCAGTCTGCTCTTGCCACTCTCCTGATTAAGCCTGCCATGGCTCTCCATTGCCTGCAGGTCAGAGTCCACTCTTCTCAGTGTCCCACAGGTCGAAATCATTGACCCTTAGCTCCCCGTCTTGGGATCTGGGCAAAGATGAATGTTCTCACCACTAGAGACCAGACTATGTCATGCCAGGGAAGGCCTGGCCAGTTCCCTCAGGTTCCTGGAATTGCTCTGAGCTGGGAATGCACAGATGGGGGCTGCCCCTGATAGACAGAGAAGACCCAGCATTTCCCTGGGGGCCGTCAGCCCTCTGTTGACTCCATCCTTCCTGCTGTGAGTGCTCCTCAGACTCCACCTCTGCATGCCACCCAGATGCCTCTGCTCAGGGCCACCCTGGGTAGCGATGGCAGGGACCCATATTATGGACCCTTCTTGACCCCTTCCATATGCCCAGATGGGTTCTCCCTGTGTCCCCACAGGGAGCTTAGAAGGGGTCTTGGGGCTCCCCCAGTCCAAACCCTGCCCTTTCTAGGTGGGGAGACTGAGGCCTTAAGGGGAAGGGGATTGCCAAGGTCACGGCTGGGACCAGAAGCCAGGCATCCACCCTGCCCTGCTCTGGGCCCCCTTCTCCAACCCCCAGCCTTCATCTCTACATCTTTCTCTTTCCTCCATGCCTTGCTCTTCCTTTATTCTCTTCTTTTCCTTCTCTTGTTGGGTGCTTATCCACATACCTATGCATCAATGGATGACCCACGTCTTACAAAATGGTCAAGGCAGTTTCCTGCTGTGGACTGGCCAAAAGAACCACCCTGACTTTAGGAGTGAGTGATGACCGGGTGGCCCTCCCAGGAGACTCCTCCCAACAATAAGGCCTGTGGTGGGTGACTGTCTTTTCCACCCCCAGCCCCCTCCTTGTCCATCCATCCCTGGCACCCTCCACCCCCTTCACTGGGATGTGGAGGTGGTCAGGAACCCACCTGCTCAAAGGGGCTTTTATTCTTGAGGTCTCTGGCCCCTAAGAAGACCCAGCTGTCCCGGAAGCCCAGCTGCTTTGCATAGGAGCTCCCCAGGTTGGTGAAGAGGCTCCTGATTTCATTATTCATTCTGAAGAGGACCAGAAAGGACAGTCAGGATGTGGGGATGGGTCAAAGGGGCACTGGGTGGTGGGATGAGAGCAGGGTGAGGGTCTCAAGGACTTGCCCATGGACAGTGCCTGGAGAAGGGGCCACACTTGGGAAAGATGGGGCGGAGGGTCCAAGACTTCCTCTCCAAAAGGGCCGTGGATGGGGCTGGAGAGGTGCTTCTGTTTACAAATATAATACATGTTCATTTGTAAAAAATGGAAGAGCACAAAGAAGTAACTAAGAAATACAGTCTCACCTTTCCTTGACATAGTCATAAGCATTTTAATATATTGTTTTTTTTCTCACTTAGAACTAGAGGGTGAGCATGCTTCCATGTCCTGAAATATTTTCTACACCGTTGTCTTTGATGCAGTATCTTCACTTATGTATATATAATCATATATCATATATTTCCATGTGCCATAATTTCTGCAACCAGTCAGCTGTTATTGGACAGGGAAAGTGTTTCCAGCTTGTCACTCTCGCAATGGTGGCTGTGATGAGCCTCCTGGAACATCTCTTTATACCCTCACCTGATTATTTCCTTAGGATAAGTTGCCAGGAGGAAATGGACTTGGTGGGAAAGCAGAAAAGGACATCCAGGGTTTGGAAGTAATGGTTTGCATTACCCTGTGGCCTGGCAGGTGGAGTTTTTTACTTACTTGGTCCCCGGGTCATCATAGGAAGCCACCAGCACCAGGGTGCCCTCTGGAATTTCCGTAAGGAATTTCACCAGAAACTTCACATCTGCGGGAGGAAGGAAAATGAGATGCTGGTCGCTTAAGGGAAGTGGCCGATGGTCACCGTCATTCTCTTCCACTGCCCTAATGACCCAGGAGTGGCCTGGGGCAGACTCAGAAGATAGGAGGAGGCAGCATCCCAGGGCAGAGCTACCTATAGCCCTTGTCCTAGGGGAGGACAAAGCGCACAGAGGGGTACTTGTTCAAGTCATCTGGGGCAACTTTGGGACTCTGGAATCTTAAAGTCCCCCAGATGACTGTGATGTGTAGCTGGGGATAAGAACCGCTGGTGAAATGTGCAGGTTGTCTGTGCTGACTTTAGATGGTACACCACACGGCCCGAAGCAACTGAGATCACTGACAGAGAACCTGAGTCTCCTACAACTGTCCTGCTACTTCAAGGAGCAGGGCTCTGTTTGTGTCTTAAATGCCTCCCTAAATTCACAAATCTCCCCACTTAACAGAGAGTAGACCTTGGTGCAGCCCTGGGTGAGGGAGGCGGAAGGGGCAGATCAGCATCCAACTTGCTGTAAGGACACTGATTTGTTTCCATTGTGCTTATTTTTCTAGTCACCTTCCCTATACAAGAAATGATAATAGCTTTCTACTTAGGGCACTGATATAGTTTCCTTTTATTATATATTTGTCTAGGTTAAAAGTAAGTAAGCTGATTTAAAGGAAAATACTAAGAATGCAGATGGTACTGTGGATATGATGCACTTGAGAAGTTTGGGAAAGAGGGGCCGAGTGGTTAAAGCAAGGACTACATCTGTCCAACGAGGATGAGTAATGGCCCTACTCAGAGCATCTCTGTAAAGCCCAAAGATGACAATGACTTTGGGTCATACAGTAAGTGCACTCTAATGGAATTATACATTATTAGCTGGATCAGCTACATAGTTTGCAGGGGCCAGTGCAAAATGGAAGTGCAGGGCATTTCATTAAAAAATTATTGAGAATTTCAGGACTGTGACAGCAGAGAATCAAACCAAGGGTGAGGTTCCTCTAAGCATGGGTCCCCGTGTGACTGCCCTGCCCACTGGTCACGTGCCCACTAAGGCAGCTCCGATTATTAGTGTTCCAGCGAAGGCCCCTTGGAGAAGAATCGACTCCCCCAACCAAGGCCAGCTGCCACCCAGATCAGAAACACAGAAGCCTCCGTCAGTCACCGCAGCGCTCTTCCAATGAAATAGCCCTTGAACTTCTAAGACAAAAAGGAAGAGCTCTTCAAGCTCCATTAACTTGTTTGTGTTTCTAGCAGATATTGTGGTCTGGCACTTGTCTGGGGTGGACAGTGGGTATGTGGAGAAAATGAAGTGTGCCTTCTGTTAATGATCACCTCACTTTTAAGCCATTTTGTCTCCTAGGGAAAGGGCTACTTGCTCTCAACGCTTCTGTTTCTGGTGCCCCATCAGCAAATGAAGTGTGCCTTCTGTTAATGATCACCTCACTTTTAAGCCATTTTGTCTCCTAGGGAAGGGCTACTTGCTCTCAACGCTTCTGTTTCTGGTGCCCCATCAGCCATGGTAACATGCAAGTTTATAATAAGGGATTTTAAAGTTTTGTCTCATGTTTAATTTTTTTTCCCTCCTTTTCAATCTGACAGATGAACTCCTTGCTTCTGAATCCTCTGGATGGAACAAGGGAGGAAGGAAGAAAAGGGACGGGGAGGGAGGGAGGGGATGGAGAACACTAAATTAGCTTCCCTGGGCCCCTCCAGCAGCCAAGCAGGCCCCTCCCGGCCATGACTGCAGGTTAGCATTTAATCCTCACGTCAGTCTTATGGAGTGGACACTCTGGTTACCACCATTGTACAGGAGAAGAAACTGAGGCTCAAAAATGCCACCTGCCTCAGGTTATGCAGCCTGAAGCTCCTGGCTTGAGAGACTAGACCTTTTCCATAAACCTGACATCAGGCCACCCCAGCATCTGCAGGTCCTGGGCAGAGAAGAGATGAGGCCTTTGGCCCACGGCCTGCCCCCTCCCTTCTCACCCCTGTCCCCAGCTCCGTAGTGTAGCAAGAAGGGCCTTGCACCACCCTCCCATCCAGCAATGGCTATCCCTTGTCACCCTTTGGTCCCAGGGGTGTGTCTGCTGGCTTGGGGGAGGGGCATGCCTGGGGAAGAGGCCTGTTGGGCCCTGATGCGGGCTCCAGGCTGGCACATCCCCTGGCCCTGTAGACTCCTCACCCAGGAGCTGGAACATAGCTGGGGAGGGACAGGTGGGGCCTCTGAAGCCCTGGGCCCAGGACAGGGTCCCAACCGCCCATCTCTAAGAGTGGTACTGCAGACCACCTCCTAAACATCCCCCGTTTCCCACATTTTAGCCCCTTTGTTTGCAAGGCTGAGGGCTTCCTGCTCTCTGTCACCTGGTGATTTGTCCCCCTCCTGGGCTCACATGTTTAGGTGGGTGCAGGCAAGCTGGGTTTTCCTTAGGGGTTGAGACAAAGATGAGGGGATCCAGGAGAGCAGAAATCCAGCTGTTTGGCAGCACTGTGGTCTCTTCCCCTCTGTGAGGAGATTTCCAGGGTCAGTGACTACACTCGCTCTGCGTCCCATGATGGCCAAGCCCGGAGCTGGCCTGTGGGCTCGGGGAGATGGAAGGGAAATAGCCCAGCTCGGCTCCAACAAGGGGGCTGGAGCTCGGTTCATCCACCCTGATGAAAATCAGTCCTTGCAGGGCCCAGATCTCTGCCATTTGCAAAGGGCCACGCTGCTGCCTTTTCGGTCCTCATCCATCCTAATTCCAGCACGTTTTGAAAGATGTCAGAGTGCGGGGTGAGGGCCCCACCCTGCCCACAGATCCTGGCTAGTGAGGAAGCTGCTGGTGGGAAATTAGAGGTTGGGATCCCAGCCCAGGCAGGTCAGTGCCTGTCTCACCGGGTAGTGCTGAGGGCAAGGCAGTGACTTCCTAAGGGGCCTGCCCTGTGCACAGAGAAGCTCAAAAAGCATGTCTGTGCAGAGAGCTCAGAGCCCTAGAGAGGTCCTTTCTGGACCCCAGAACACCTTTTCCTGTCCTTGGGTCCACTAGGGATCCCTGCGACCTTGAAATAAAGTACCCTTTACCTTGCAGAGCTTGAGAGGGTGTACACCGACATGGCCATTCACCTAGTCCCTAGCCCTGCAGGGCACACACGCCTGGCCCCCAGAGGCCAGCACTGGCATTTCTTTGCCTGAGGGTCTTGTCTGGCCTCCACATCCCACTTTGTCCCTTGAGGGCAGGCCAGAAGTGCTGGGAAGTGCCAAGGAATTAGAGGTACGAGGGCCCCAGCTCCCTCGCTCCTCTGGGATGTCTTTGAGGTGTACATATGGCACTGGCTCCAGAGTCCCAACTGTGTTACGTTGAAGGGTGTGATGACCACTCTGAACTGGCTTCTGTCCTTGCCCTGTCTTTCCTCTTCACTCCCCTGCTGACACTCCTGAGGTCGCCCTCCCAAATACACCATCGCGGGATCTGCGTCTGGGAGATTCCAACTAACACAGCAGGAAGGAATTGCAAAGGCAGCAGGACGACCCTCACCGCCCCCCAACCGCCCAGTGCCTGTCTCCTCTCTCTGGGTGTCTCTTGTGGAAACAAGTGCCAGGCACCCCACGCCAAAGGCTCCCCTGCCCCAGGAAGTGGCTCACCCCACCCCATGACTTCATTGTTAATAGAGGTGCCTACCTCCAGAGTACATGTCGAAAATGGCCTGTCTCAGCAGCGTCCCCGTGGTTCCTAGGGGTTAAGAGAGCAGAACCATTATTTCCTGTAACGTGTCATTCTGCTCGTCATTTTGCTGAAAACAGCCACTCTGTGGTCTAAGGTCTAAAAACAGAATAAGAATTGAATGAAATTAGGTCCTGTAAAGAGCATGCGGGACCAAAGTAGGTGCCCAGTGACTGACTGTTGGGCTGACCTAAGAGGTCCGAGAACATGATGGCGAGGGTTTCTGGAATCCGACAGAATCCGAGTCTGTGTTCTGTCCCGCCACGTCCTAACACACGACTTAGCATTCTGACCTCAGTGATGTGGGAACTAAATGAGACATATTTAAAATAGATAGTAAGCATACAAGATACATTTTAGCTGCAAAGTAGTAATAAAAATAATGATGATCATCATTATTATTCCCACCTAAACACAAAGTCTGTAACTTGAGTCCTCCAGCTCTTGAAGGCAAAGGGATATGCAGTGGGCCAAACAGGGCCCTCGATTTCCCAGAGTCCAATAGTCCGAATTGCGTTTGCGGTTTGTGCTGGGAGAAGGCAGAAGGCCACGTCCTCCGGGAGGGGTGTTTGGGGGAAGGCTGCAGTTCTCACTCGCGGTCACTAGATGGAGGTGTTGCAGAGGGGATGGCCGCTCGCTCGTGGCCTGAAGCGGGTGGGGCCGGGCCGGGGTAGTGGCCGCTCTCCCCGCGGTGCGCGGGGCGGACAGGCTCACAGAGCAGCCCGGAATCCTGAGCCACGTAGCGTCCTCGTAGAGCTCCACCTGGGGTCCGGGGACGGTGGTCTATGAACCCCTGAGACTGCTTTTGAGATGGCTTGTGGATTTTCCTGGAACTGGAGTGGGGGTGGGGGAGCATACTTGGACATTTCTCAAAGGAGTAGCATCCCCACCGAGAGGTTACGGACCCGCGGATCTTCAGCCATGCGTTTGTTGTTCTGGCTCATTGCACAGAGGAGGACTCTGAGGCCCTGAGATGATTTGTTGGTGGGGTGGGGGAGCATACTTGGACATTTCTCAAAGGAGTAGCATCCCCACCGAGAGGTTACGGGCCCGCGGATCTTCAGCCATGCGTTTGTTGTTCTGGCTCATTGCACAGAGGAGGACTCTGAGGCCCTGAGATGATTTGTTGGTCTTCCCCACAGCTGGCATGCAGTAGCCTCCGTATACTTGTTTGGAGACAGTCCTGGTCTAGGGAAGTAGTTCAGCTGAGTGATTAAGACTTGGAGTCAGCCAGATCCGGGTTCAACTCTAGATGGTTCTATTGCTTGTGTGACCTTGGGCAAGTTGCTTAACCTCTCTGAGCCTCCCTTTTTTACCTGGAAAATGGGGATGTTGAGCATAGCTCCATTCTGGTATCATGATGAGTTTAAATGAAATAGCTAGCACACAGCTCAGTAACCGTTAGCTCTTATTGTCGTTGATGGTTACTTTTACTCTTTGCCTTTGTGAGAGGCAGGGAAGGAGGCCCCAGTCTGGGGACAGCTCATCAGAAAATATTCAGAGGTTTTCTCAGGCATTGGCCTATTTGGGGGAAGCAAAACTCAGCAGATTTCAGCCAGGTCAGCTGCAGCTGGAGGCATTTCCTGCCCTCCCTCACTGTGGGGTGTGAAGATTGAGTGGGCTTGTTGATGGATGCAGAACATTCACAGAGGAGTGCTCTGAGACCAGCCTAAGCTGCCTGCACATGCTCCCTTCAGGGAGGGGCCACCATCCCAGAGCTGGGGTGAAACAGGCCTTAGCTCTCCTCAAGGCTGCAGAGAAGGAGCAGCCCCTCTCAGAATCCTGCCTCTCCCTATCCAGCCCTTCCCAGGCTCCCAGGAAGTTGGCCAGGACTGTCCTCTGACTCCCATTCATCCAGGCAGGACCCTATCTCTACCCCAAAACTTGACCTCTCCCCTGACCCAGCAACAGTTCTTGGCAGAGGGGAAAATAGCTTCCTTTAGGAGCAAAGTTCAAGGATTCAGAGTTGGCAGGGCCAGGGCTCCCATTCTACCCTGTCACTTCCTAAGTGTGGTCATGTGGTCATATCACATGCAAGCTTGACATTTTCCTTCCTGAGCATTCCTTGCACGCTTTTTCTCCACTCAGCTTGACCTTTGTCCCATGAAGTGGCCCTTGTTCCCTGTCTAGGAGCAGAAAGCAGGAGGTCTTAACTGGGGCCAGACCAGTTGGTCCTTACTTGACCCTGTAAACTCACTCCCTCTTGAAACGTGTCCCTATTTCAGACTTGGTTGCTGTTTGGCCTCCTATTTATCACCTGCTGGAGATGCAGCATTATCAGGACCATTGCCCTCCCCTGGGTCTCCCTGCCTCCAGCCTCCCAAGCTAGAAGGAGGTTTCTGGAATGCAGGGCTGGGCATCCATGCCCTGCTCAAAGCCTTTCCATGGCTCCCTACTACCCTCAGTTTCAAATGCACACTTCATAGCAGACGCTTAGCTGCTCATCCTTCGGCCCTGCTGGTCTCCCCAGCCTCACCTCTCCCTGCTGCTGCTTCCAGGCCTGCAAGCCCCTCTCATCCCTGCTCCCTACACAGTGTTGCCCCTGCCTGGAAGAAGCCTCCCCCACTTTTCTCCTGGCCAAGCCCTGCTGTGGTTCAGGCCGCAGCTAACCATCACCTCTCTCGGGAAGCCTTCCCTGACTACCCTGCTGCACACTCTGCACCCCGCTCCTGGAGCTGTGCTTCCTGCTCCTGCATAGCTGCTTAGCATGTTGGGATTGTCTGTGAACTTCACGGACACCCACGAGGATGTCCTTTTACTTCACGGCTGGTCCCCAGACCTGTACAGCAAGTAGCTGCTGCCTGAATGAATGAATGAATGAAGGTGGGCACTCAGTATGTGATCTCACATTGTCATTGACTGTCCCCATGGCTGCATGTATGTTGGTTTAAGCTGGGGTGTCTTTGAGGATGGGTCATGTTTCATAGAAGTGCATCCTCTTGGGATAGGAGCATATGGCAGGGGCCTGGCCAGGACTGTGGTAGACCTGGGTTTTGAGACCTCCTGTTCCCCCAGGCCAGGCACAACTCCCCTTTTGAGCTCTACAGGATGACCCTGGGCACATGGTAGGAGCTGAGCCAATGTCAGCGGGATAAATGTGCAGCCACCCCACCGCCTTCTTTGGAGATAAGAGTGTGGTGGGGACTGTCTTGGGAGTGGATCACAACTCACCGTTCACCAGGGCGATGTTCAGACCTCTGCCCACATTGTTTTTCACAGGACTCATGATCCTGAAGACCAGGAAGGAAAACAAAATACAACAGTTGGTCGTGAGCACGGAACGAGCACTGCTTTTTTGACTGGGGACCTCCAAAAGGGCCCACATTGCGCAATTCAGAAGCACTAGGAAGCACATGGAATAATGTGAGCCATCTGTTTTCCCTGGAAACTGTGGTGGGCTGGATTCTCCAAGGAGTCTCTCATGGTATATTTGGACCAGAACAGTCTCTTAGAGAAGAGACAAGATGTCTGCCTGGGGCTTTGAGGTATTGGGGGTGGGGCCAGCCTACCTCCCCAGGTTGTGAAGCCTGGTGGCCAGGAGGAGACAGAACCCAGAAAGTTGCTACCATCCTGGGGCATCTGCATTTCCCGTGTGGAGCACAGCTCTGTTTCTGCTGGCCCAGCATCCACACCTGTCTTCTGGTGGTTCTTAGGTGAGCTGTCCTCCTCCACTCTCAGGCCAGGTGGTTCTGGGACTGACCAGTCTCTCCCAGGTCTGGACAAGCAAAGCATCCTATGGCCCTGGCCATAGTGATTGGGCCAGGCATGGTCATGTGACCCAGGCCAGTCAATGAGACCCAGTCTTGGGACCTTTGCAGGGATAATTCAGACAGGAAAGCTCTTTTCCCATTAAGGGTGGTAGGCTGGGCTAATACGTGGGCCAGGCATGGTCATGTGACCCAGGCCAGTCAATGAGACCCAGTCTTGGGACCTTTGCACGGATAATTCAGACAGGAAAGCTCTTTTCCCATTAAGGGTGGTAGGCTGGGCTAATACGTCAAACCAGCTGGTGGCCTAGCTCCTTGGCCACATGGAAAAGTATATTACAGTAGAGAATAATGAAGCTAACAGACAGAGGAGAGGAGAGCTGAAGATGGTGTAGAGGGAGCCCTGATGATATGGTTTGAACCCCTGGAGCCAGCTGGTCCTGAAGCCCACTATGTCTGGCCTCTTAGGAACACGAACCAATTTCCTTGTTTTGCCTAAGCAAGTTGTAGTTGGTTCAGAATCCTGACTTAAATATCTGCCTCTGTCTTCTTTCATAGGATGCACTTGCTGCCCCAGGGACTTTACTATGTAGGTTGGATAAGGGTCCCCAGTCTTTCTCCCATACCTGCGTGGGAGCCCTGGTGCCTGCTGCATGTGGGCTTTGATGCCCGGGTCTTCATCTTGAACCCACACACACACACAGGCATCTCCTTTCATAGGAAGCCTGCATGCAGCTGGCTGTTAGACCTGAGTCCAAAGTTTGGCTGTGCTACTGCTGGCTTGGCAGGTGACCCTGTCTGACCTCCGTGTTTTCATCTTTACCATAGGAATGACAGCAGCCCACCTTCCAGAGGGCTGGGGGAGTAAATTAGAAGAGGCAGTAAAGCCCCTGGCAGACATGTGAGCAGTTTGGATCCTTGTTATTTGTGACACACACGCCTAGAGTGAAAGGAAGCTTAGCGGAGGTGTGGGCTGACCTCACGGGCCTGTCCCCGGCAACTCTGGAATTTTCTAATGAATGAATGAATGAAATAAAAGAAACGTAGGTGCCCCTTAGGTACTTACATGTGGTCCTTGTTATTTGTGACACACACGCCTAGAGTGAAAGGAAGCTTAGCGGAGGTGTGGGCTGATCTCACGGGCCTGTCCCCGGCAACTCTGGAATTTTCTAATGAATGAATGAATGAAATAAAAGAAACGTAGGTGCCCCTTAGGTACTTACATGTGGTTCTCAAAGCATATGGAGGGGCCCACGACGTTGGCGGCCCCACTGCAGATTTTAAATGCGAAGAAGTTGGCTGGGCAGGACTTGCTGAGGCCACACTTGGTCTTCACGACCCCTGGGAGGGAAGAGACCGGCCTTGGTGAGTGGCAGCTCGGGAAGGGGCCTGCTGGAGGTGGGATGGGCCGGCCCAGGGAGCCTGCTCAGGACACACTCAGAGGTCTCTTCCTGGAGAAGCCTTTGCTGAGCTCCACGGGCCTCCAACGCCCCATCTAAGCACGCAGCACACTGGCTGTGTGTCTGACTATCCTGGAATGAATTTTTGGGCTTCCCATCACAGCCCCAGCCCCAGCACAGGGCCCTCAGTGGATGCGTGGAGTAACAAGTAGTGGTTAATAACTAGAGTCACGGTGATGAAGGATTCTCCTGAGAACCTCTTTCTTGGGCCACAGCAACCTTTTGAGTGCCCAGAGGCCCCTGTCAACAACCTCTTGGGGGCCCTAGCCTGAAGGGTGGAAGCGCCTCTCTCTAGCCAGGTTCCCTTGGGCACATCTTCAACCTTCTTGCACCTCAGCTTCCTCATCTGTAAAATGGGATACTAAGCTGCCTCCCCAAATGGGTTCTTGTGAGAAGTAAATGAGCACAGGTTAGTGCTCAGTACCTGTGGGCTCTTCTCATCCCTCATTCCTTCCTCACTCATTTACTAAGTGCTGGGCCCTGGGAGCCAACAGGGAGCAGGCAGGTGGCGCCGGCTCTCCCACTTGGTGCTTGCAATGCAATGGACATTTGCTATGTGGCACCTCTCATGACTGTGGCTGATACTCAGACCCATGTGCTCTACACGCACTCCTTACAGGGCAAGCCCAGGAGGCCCATGATCAGCAGGAGACGTGGATGGCACCCCAAGATGCAGTCACTGAGCACTCAGCCCTCAATGGTGTCCTCACAGCTATGACAACATCTGCACTTCCAGCCTAGTGGGCTCTACTTTATGCTAATGCATGCTTTTAGCACCACCTGACAGTTTGGAAAGCGGCATTAGGGATGATTGGGTAAATGTGGAATTAGAGAATGTTTACCCTCAAAGGCAAGGTGGGGCTTGGGCGGCCTTTCTCTCCCCTAGCCCCTGTTCCAGGCATATGGCTGGGCTCTGTCAGTGTGTGTTCAGGAGCAAACCCAGAGGCTTCCTAAGAGAAGCTTGTGCATACAGAGGGCTTGCAGGTGCTGGGCACTGTGGCAAGCACTTTATGTTTATTATCTTGTTAAATCGTCCCAGTAACACCTATGCCTGGCACACAGTAGGCACTCTGTATGTCCTCATTGGATGAACACATAGAGTATTTGTGCCAGGCTGAGCCTGAGGGTGGGAGGGACAATGGGGTCAGGATGATGAGGGTCTCCAGGGCACTCGCTGGCCTGTAGGGAGCCTAAAGGTGAATCAGGAAAATGTACCTCTGGGGGGACACAACCCAATGGTACAAGCTTGGCAGCTGTGGCACCCTTGAATAGGTGAAGATGTCCCTTCCAGAGTGAATGTGGCCCTTGCCGGGGCACCCTGCTTGGCTTGGGGTCAGCCCTAGTGATCTGAGAGGAAAGGCCTGTCCTTGATTTCAGCACCCTCACCTGCTGGATGCAAACCAGGACACTGTCACTCAGAGAACAAGGGCAGGAGTGGAGACACACAAGGGGCTGCTCAGGAGAGAGCGTGGGCATCCAGGCCTGGCTAGGCTCCTTCTCCCTCTAAGCAGGACCCCCAGGGAAGGGGCCCATCCCTGCCCTCGGGTTGGCTGAGTGATGCCAGGGCGATCCCCAACCTGGGCCTGGCTCCTCTTGTCCTGTGAGCCTTGGGGCCCCACCTCCACTGGCCCCCTTACCGAGGCAGGGATTACTTCAGGCCTGAGGGACCACCCGTGGAGTTTGCCCAGAGCCTAATCAACTGCAGCTAAGTCTGATAAACCCGATGTCAACAGCCTGGCTTAAGCAGGCTTTTCCAGAATTGATTTTCTGGCCATCCAGCCTTCCAGGTCAAGCTTCTGGATGAAGGGAGGTGATGCCCAGAGGGTCTCAGCCATGGGAGGCAGGGGATTTGCTCTCTGGGTCTGGCTTAGGGGGCTGCCACCCCCAGCTGCCTCAGACCCCGAGGCCCTAACCCTTTAGGAACCCCAGCACTATTGCTCAGGGCATGGAGCTGGTGCTAGCAAGAGCACTGGTATGTATGTGGGGGTCGGGGGGGTGAAGTCAGGACACTTGGGCTGCTCTTCCTCTAATCTGCTGTATGACCTGCCAGAAATCTTTTTCTGTTATTTTTGCCAACTGGCCAGAGAAATCAGGGAGTTGGTTTAAATCAGGATCATCAAATAGGTTTCCTCTTAAATGTCAATTTGGACCTACTGTTAGAGGTTTAATGATAAAGCTCTTGATACTACCTGTGAGCTTGGAGGGAAGGAATGCTTGGATTGATTGGTGATGTCTGCCATGGGAGTGGGCAGGGCAGAAGGAAGCAAGTGCGCTTGGATCTGCCATCCCCCCAGCAGGAGGTGTCTAAGTGTTTGCTCAGCACCTGTGACACTCTTGTGCCTTCTTCAGAATATGACTGAAGAGGCTTCAGGGAGATGGGGTTGAGGGTTTGGGGTGAATGGTTTGGGTCGATTCATACAGTCTTTGATCTCTGTAATCCCACAGTGTACTGGGGCTTTTCTTAGTCAGGTAAATCCTATTCCTGGAGCTGCAGCCCTCTTCAGAGTCATCACCATGTTGGGGAGGGAGACTGAGGAGGCCTGGAAGTGTTGTCTCTTGCAAAGAGGTGTTGAGGGGGTGGGCCCTGGACTAGAAGGGGGTGGGGTTGACTCTCATTCTACCACTTACAGCTGCATGACTTTGGCCAAGAGGTTTCACCTCTGAGCCTCAGTTTCCTCACCTATAAAAACAGGATAATTACAGCACCTGAGTCCGGTGGTGTGTAGGATCACATGAGATGCCTGTGAAGTTCTGATTACAGCATCCGCCACTCAGTGGGCGCTCAGCTGTTGTTACTGTTCCCAGCACCAGCACCTGAGTCCGGTGGTGTGTAGGATCACATGAGATGCCTGTGAAGTTCTGATTACAGCGTCCGCCACTCAGTGGGCGCTCAGCTGTTGTTACTGTTCCCAGCATCAGAGCTCTGTCTCTGCCTGCTCTGCCCTTGGCAGTGGGGGCCTTGCTGAAGCCTTGTTCCNCCCCCCCCCCCCCCCCCACACACACACACACAGGCATCTCCTTTCATAGGAAGCCTGCATGCAGCTGGCTGTTAGACCTGAGTCCAAAGTTTGGCTGTGCTACTGCTGGCTTGGCAGGTGACCCTGTCTGACCTCCGTGTTTTCATCTTTACCATAGGAATGACAGCAGCCCACCTTCCAGAGGGCTGGGGGAGTAAATTAGAAGAGGCAGTAAAGCCCCTGGCAGACATGTGAGCAGTTTGGATCCTTGTTATTTGTGACACACACGCCTAGAGTGAAAGGAAGCTTAGCGGAGGTGTGGGCTGATCTCACGGGCCTGTCCCCGGCAACTCTGGAATTTTCTAATGAATGAATGAATGAAATAAAAGAAACGTAGGTGCCCCTTAGGTACTTACATGTGGTTCTCAAAGCATATGGAGGGGCCCACGACGTTGGCGGCCCCACTGCAGATTTTAAATGCGAAGAAGTTGGCTGGGCAGGACTTGCTGAGGCCACACTTGGTCTTCACGACCCCTGGGAGGGAAGAGACCGGCCTTGGTGAGTGGCAGCTCGGGAAGGGGCCTGCTGGAGGTGGGATGGGCCGGCCCAGGGAGCCTGCTCAGGACACACTCAGAGGTCTCTTCCTGGAGAAGCCTTTGCTGAGCTCCACGGGCCTCCAACGCCCCATCTAAGCACGCAGCACACTGGCTGTGTGTCTGACTATCCTGGAATGAATTTTTGGGCTTCCCATCACAGCCCCAGCCCCAGCACAGGGCCCTCAGTGGATGCGTGGAGTAACAAGTAGTGGTTAATAACTAGAGTCACGGTGATGAAGGATTCTCCTGAGAACCTCTTTCTTGGGCCACAGCAACCTTTTGAGTGCCCAGAGGCCCCTGTCAACAACCTCTTGGGGGCCCTAGCCTGAAGGGTGGAAGCGCCTCTCTCTAGCCAGGTTCCCTTGGGCACATCTTCAACCTTCTTGCACCTCAGCTTCCTCATCTGTAAAATGGGATACTAAGCTGCCTCCCCAAATGGGTTCTTGTGAGAAGTAAATGAGCACAGGTTAGTGCTCAGTACCTGTGGGCTCTTCTCATCCCTCATTCCTTCCTCACTCATTTACTAAGTGCTGGGCCCTGGGAGCCAACAGGGAGCAGGCAGGTGGCGCCGGCTCTCCCACTTGGTGCTTGCAATGCAATGGACATTTGCTATGTGGCACCTCTCATGACTGTGGCTGATACTCAGACCCATGTGCTCTACACGCACTCCTTACAGGGCAAGCCCAGGAGGCCCATGATCAGCAGGAGACGTGGATGGCACCCCAAGATGCAGTCACTGAGCACTCAGCCCTCAATGGTGTCCTCACAGCTATGACAACATCTGCACTTCCAGCCTAGTGGGCTCTACTTTATGCTAATGCATGCTTTTAGCACCACCTGACAGTTTGGAAAGCGGCATTAGGGATGATTGGGTAAATGTGGAATTAGAGAATGTTTACCCTCAAAGGCAAGGTGGGGCTTGGGCGGCCTTTCTCTCCCCTAGCCCCTGTTCCAGGCATATGGCTGGGCTCTGTCAGTGTGTGTTCAGGAGCAAACCCAGAGGCTTCCTAAGAGAAGCTTGTGCATACAGAGGGCTTGCAGGTGCTGGGCACTGTGGCAAGCACTTTATGTTTATTATCTTGTTAAATCGTCCCAGTAACACCTATGCCTGGCACACAGTAGGCACTCTGTATGTCCTCATTGGATGAACACATAGAGTATTTGTGCCAGGCTGAGCCTGAGGGTGGGAGGGACAATGGGGTCAGGATGATGAGGGTCTCCAGGGCACTCGCTGGCCTGTAGGGAGCCTAAAGGTGAATCAGGAAAATGTACCTCTGGGGGGACACAACCCAATGGTACAAGCTTGGCAGCTGTGGCACCCTTGAATAGGTGAAGATGTCCCTTCCAGAGTGAATGTGGCCCTTGCCGGGGCACCCTGCTTGGCTTGGGGTCAGCCCTAGTGATCTGAGAGGAAAGGCCTGTCCTTGATTTCAGCACCCTCACCTGCTGGATGCAAACCAGGACACTGTCACTCAGAGAACAAGGGCAGGAGTGGAGACACACAAGGGGCTGCTCAGGAGAGAGCGTGGGCATCCAGGCCTGGCTAGGCTCCTTCTCCCTCTAAGCAGGACCCCCAGGGAAGGGGCCCATCCCTGCCCTCGGGTTGGCTGAGTGATGCCAGGGCGATCCCCAACCTGGGCCTGGCTCCTCTTGTCCTGTGAGCCTTGGGGCCCCACCTCCACTGGCCCCCTTACCGAGGCAGGGATTACTTCAGGCCTGAGGGACCACCCGTGGAGTTTGCCCAGAGCCTAATCAACTGCAGCTAAGTCTGATAAACCCGATGTCAACAGCCTGGCTTAAGCAGGCTTTTCCAGAATTGATTTTCTGGCCATCCAGCCTTCCAGGTCAAGCTTCTGGATGAAGGGAGGTGATGCCCAGAGGGTCTCAGCCATGGGAGGCAGGGGATTTGCTCTCTGGGTCTGGCTTAGGGGGCTGCCACCCCCAGCTGCCTCAGACCCCGAGGCCCTAACCCTTTAGGAACCCCAGCACTATTGCTCAGGGCATGGAGCTGGTGCTAGCAAGAGCACTGGTATGTATGTGGGGGTCGGGGGGGTGAAGTCAGGACACTTGGGCTGCTCTTCCTCTAATCTGCTGTATGACCTGCCAGAAATCTTTTTCTGTTATTTTTGCCAACTGGCCAGAGAAATCAGGGAGTTGGTTTAAATCAGGATCATCAAATAGGTTTCCTCTTAAATGTCAATTTGGACCTACTGTTAGAGGTTTAATGATAAAGCTCTTGATACTACCTGTGAGCTTGGAGGGAAGGAATGCTTGGATTGATTGGTGATGTCTGCCATGGGAGTGGGCAGGGCAGAAGGAAGCAAGTGCGCTTGGATCTGCCATCCCCCCAGCAGGAGGTGTCTAAGTGTTTGCTCAGCACCTGTGACACTCTTGTGCCTTCTTCAGAATATGACTGAAGAGGCTTCAGGGAGATGGGGTTGAGGGTTTGGGGTGAATGGTTTGGGTCGATTCATACAGTCTTTGATCTCTGTAATCCCACAGTGTACTGGGGCTTTTCTTAGTCAGGTAAATCCTATTCCTGGAGCTGCAGCCCTCTTCAGAGTCATCACCATGTTGGGGAGGGAGACTGAGGAGGCCTGGAAGTGTTGTCTCTTGCAAAGAGGTGTTGAGGGGGTGGGCCCTGGACTAGAAGGGGGTGGGGTTGACTCTCATTCTACCACTTACAGCTGCATGACTTTGGCCAAGAGGTTTCACCTCTGAGCCTCAGTTTCCTCACCTATAAAAACAGGATAATTACAGCACCTGAGTCCGGTGGTGTGTAGGATCACATGAGATGCCTGTGAAGTTCTGATTACAGCATCCGCCACTCAGTGGGCGCTCAGCTGTTGTTACTGTTCCCAGCACCAGAGCTCTGTCTCTGCCTGCTCTGCCCTTGGCAGTGGGGGCCTTGCTGAAGCCTTGTTCCGACCCCCTGCATTTGAGGCCCTCAGCATTCCTGCCCTCCCCATGCTCTCTCCTTGCTGATCAGTCCCTGAGTCTCCAGCCAAGGTCCCCACTGGAGCTCTGCACCTTGTCGCCTCCTCCACAAGGCACACCTGAAAGGCCACCTCCTCCCTGAAGCCTTCTCTGACCCAATCCCATAGGAAGGAGGTGTCCCTCCAGGAGCCCACAGTGCTTTCCCTGCCTCTCTTGGCACACCTGGCATTTCTCCCCCAACAGACAATCAACCCTTCTGTTTGTCTCTGGGGGCCCCTGGCACTTTGGAGCAGGAACCCTGAGCCAAGCCTGGGGTCTTTGCAATAGGTATAAGGAATACAGCCCCTGCCCTTGGGGCTCCCAGCCAGGCGGGGGCATCAGGGGAGGCAGGGGCAGGGTGTGGTCCAGACTGCAGGGGGAAGACTAGGGAAAGAGGACAGTTGAGCTATGTCCCTACCAGTTTGAATGGCTGAGAGAGGGCCACGCCTGCCACAGGGCTGGGGGGTTTCAGAAGGCGCCATTGGGCTGTGGGAGGAAAAGGCTGGGCAGACTCTGGAGACTTGGGTTTCTCTGGAACCTGCATGCAGGGCAGGGAGGATACCCTGGGACATCTTACCCTAGGGCAAATCTGTGTGTGTGTAGATACTCACGGATCTCCTTGGTGGTGGAGTCTGCTGAAAAGAAGACAGAATCTGGTTAGACAGAAAGCACTTTGGCCCTTTTTGCAAGATGAAGGTTGGGGCTGGGGGCTGGGGGTGGGAAGTGGGAAGAAGGGACTTTAAAATGGCATTGTTGAAGTGAGCTAAAAGTTTCACCTCATCTGGGAGTCCTCTCTCACTTGCTGCTGTCACCCATTCACACACATGCACACACAACACATATACATGCACACACAGACACACGTGTACACACAGAGAAACACACATGTACACACACTCGTGCATATACACATAGACACACGTGCACACACAGACACACACAAGCACAGTCACACACACGTATGCACATACACAAACATGCACACATACATGTACGGGCACACATGACTCTCATGGTTAAAATGAAGCTGGGCTGTGTTGTGAAAACCACTGGAGTCTAAGCCCTAACTCCTAGTGTGTGACTGTGTGTGACATTTAATCTCCCAAGCCTCAGTCTCCTTGACTGCACATGGAGACCATCACAGCCACCCTCATTGGGCTGTGGAGAGATCCAGCAAGATTCAGCTCTAAGGGGCCTAGCCAGGTGCCTGGCCTCGCCCCAGCTGTTGCTGCTGGTTGGGCCGTGTTGGGGCATCTCTTTCCTGACTGTCTGCAGGACCTTTCAGGCCCTCAGTCACTTCCTAACGTCTTGTTATCCTGTGTCCTAGTTGTTTCTGCAGTTTTACGTCAGGTATCCCACCATCCTGGCAGGAAGTCCTAGAGGACAGGGCCCCCAGTAGACACAGAAATGCCAGAGGAGAGACCTCTTCTTTTTGGGGGGACCCCCACACTTACTTTCCGCTTAGTCCTCAGGGGGCTGTCTATCCTGGAGCATCCCCATCCCCTGCCTCCAAGGCCCCAGGAGTAGCATGTGACCCAGGCTGGGTCAACCATATTACATTCCCGTGGAGACGGAGACCTTCCCTGAGTTGACATGTGGCTCTGGCAGAGAGAGAGAATGTGCCTTTTCCAGCTCAGCTGGAAGTCGTGCATCCGGAGAGCCATTACATTCCCGTGGAGACGGAGACCTTCCCTGAGTTGACATGTGGTTCTGGCAGAGAGAGAGAATGTGCCTTTTCCAGCTCAGCTGGAAGTCGTGCATCCGGAGAGCCGGTGGCCATCACGCCTGCTGAGGAGAGAAATCTGCCCGTGGAAGTAGGTTCTGACCTGTTGAGGTTAAGTTCAACAAGCAGAGCCTGGGGATGTAGAGAGACAGGCTCCAGGAGCTTTGTGGGGGCCCCTGGATCAAGCTGCACCTGAAGCCAGGTATTCATGGACTTCCCAGTTCTGCAACTGAAGACATCCTGTTTGGTTGAAACCACTTGGAGTTGTACTCCCATCTGAAAGAACTCTGCCTAATTTGCCAGGTAAATCAGGAGTTCTTAATCTCCCGATTTCTGTGTCACGGATCCCTTTGGTGGTTTGAAAGAGCCTATGAACTCCCCTCTGAATAAATTGATCCCTACTTCCCTTGAGACACTCAGCACTTCCTACTCCAACAGACTTCAAGTTATTAAGAGCACAAAGCAAAATAGATTTGATTACAAAGGAAACCAATTACATATCAATGTAATAATAAAAACAAAAACACATTTGCGCTATAGTAATAGATGCGCTTCTATATTAATGCATTAAATGATGGAGTGGGGGCATGTGCGCCCGGGCTGGGCTGGAGCAAGTGAAAGTTAGACTCCTTTTGGTGCCAGAACACTGTGGTTTTTACGGCCATTTTTCCCGTTGGCTACATTTCCTGCCACTGTGAACACTTCTCCAGACTTGGATCATGTGAATGCACTTTCGTTTTTGTATATTCTGTAATCAAGGCTGTTGGTTGCTCTGATTCAGACCATGAGCAGGGCCACGTGTTCCTCATTTCGGGGTCCCCGGAACCTAACACAGCACTCAACACCCCATAGTCATTTGATGATCGTTGGTTGGAGGTGTTGACTTGCCAAACCCCAGGTAGCTGAGTTCTGAGAGAGAAATAACTACTGGGGTCTCCTTTCAACCACTGTCCCTCTCCCACCTTGGGCTGGGCTCTCTCCTCTAGAGGACACCCCCAGCTCCACACCCTCTCTCAGTGTTGTACACTGACCGGGGCTGTCTCTTCTGAGGCCGTCAGTGCAGCCAAGCCCATCTCTAGTGAGGTTGGGGAGATGGCGGCCATCAACATCTATGTAAACTTATAAATCATCCCAACACAGGCTGTGGTTCATGCTCAATAGGAAGTGGATGGGGTGAGGGACCTCAGACACTCTACCACGGGATTGTGCTAAAAACGGGGCAGCCGTCAGCTGGCCTGGGTCACTACAGATTGTTATGTTTGGCTCTGTCAGTGGAGGTGGTTCTTGTCCCTACTTCCCTTGATACTCAGCACTTCCTACTCCTACAGACTTCAAGTTATTAAGTGCATAAAGCAAAATAGATTTGATTACAAAGGAAACCAATTACATATCAATGTAATAATAAAAACAAAAAATATATTTTTTTGTCCATACAGAGGACAAATTCAGAGGTATAAACCCTTTCCCCTCCCTCCTTCCTTTGATCAGAAAGGATTTAAATCTGGAAAACCTGGTTTCCCATTCCTGTTCTGACATCCCTGAGGGGAACTTGGGTGCGCTTTTAAATCTCTCTGAGCATCTGCTTTCCCAGACCACATGGGAACCACACCAGAAGTCACGCCTGAGTCCACTCCACAACCACATCGTGCATCACTCCACAGGCATTTGTGCAGATTAAATGAGACAGTGCACATAAAGCACCTAGCATCCATCATCCATCCGTCTGTCAGTTTGTCCATCCATCCACCCATCCATCCATCCATCTTTCTTTCATTCAGCACATGTTTACTAGGCACCTGCTCTGTGTCAGGTGCTAGAGAGATGGATGTACTCAAAACAAAATCCTTGCCTTCAGGAAGCTCACATTCAAGGGGGCAGAGACAGGTAACGACTGAGGAACCAAATAAATAAACAACATAATGACAGATGGTGATGGCGTTCTGAAGAAAATACGCTGATGTGAGAGAACCTAAACTAGGGGAGGGGTGTGCGACTATAGCTGGGTTGTCAGGGAAGGCCTCCGAGGAGGTGACATCTGAGCAGAGACCTGAAGGCTGAGAAGGAGTGGGGCATGGAAGGCAGGTGGGAAGGACCTGCATGAAGAGTTTCCAGGCAGACCTCCCTT